TATTTTACACTTTTGTCTCAACTGTGTGTCAGTTATACCCTTAATATCCCGCATATAACTCACAGTTAGTGAATAATTAACGTCAATTGTTTATCACTTGTAAATTACAATATACAGTGCAACTTCTTTTGGAAGAACACCTCATAAGGAACGGATTTGAAATATATTTTGGATTTCCTATATCTATAACTGAACCTTCCATAGAGAAGAAACACTTTGGCTATGCATCTGCCCGTTCCCTACGGAAAAGTTGCACTTTATTTAAAACCATTCAACTTTATTGATTTATTTGAAATAGTGAATTTATCATTTATTATATTAATTTTATTCACCGGTTTACATAAATCCTATTAAAACAATTAAGTCTATGTGTAATATACGAGACTTTAGGGTAAATGAGTGTAAGTGTAAAACAAAGTTGAAATTTGAGTGAAAGTGGGCTATAATTGAGTGCATTTCACATCCGGTCCTCACTTTTCACTTCAATAATACACTAATCTTTCAATTATTGAAATTCAATACAAAAACATTTTCAGCAATAAATCACTGACTCTTAGCCTCAGATCACGTGATATCCACTCTTTGGGCACTAATGGCGTCGAAGGGATCCGTTTCGGGTGACAGTGTAGACATCGATGACGACAACGACGGAGATTACGATATCGTACGACCGATAAGACAGAGAGACAGTGACCGACACTTAATTGTCTGAATATAACGGTTTGCATTGTCTTCAGGACTATTCCTCGGCGGACGACGAGCCGGACGTGAACTTAGAGAACCAGTACTTCAACGCGAAGGCCATCAAAGACGACGACCCGAACGGCGCTCTCGACTGCTTTGAACGGGTGATCGCAATGGAGGCCACGGATGAGACGGCCGACGGGAAACCCGGCGACTGGGGCTTCAAAGCACTCAAACAGATGATGAAGATTTACTTCAAACTGGTATTAGCGGCGCTTTTATGGCACCGATTATATTATGTAACGATTCTGTATGTAATCTATAGGGGAATTACACCGAAATGATGGCCAGATATAAGCAATTAATGACTTATATTAAGACTACTATAAATAAGAATTACTCGGAAAAGTCCATTAATGCGATTCTCGACTATATATCCACATCCAAACAGGTCTGACCACTTAATTGTCTTATTACATGTGTTTGTAATGCATTGTCTGTACGGATCAGATGGAACTGTTGGAGCAGTTCTACGAGACAACACTGGAGGCGTTGAAGGACGCGAAGAACGAGCGGCTCTTCTTCAAGACAAACACCAAATTAGGAAAACTATATTTCGAGAGAAGAGAATTCAATAAATTGTCTGCAGTTGTGAAGAGATTACGCGAATTGTGTCAAACGGACGCCGGAACCGATGATCCCAAGAAAGGCACTCATCTGTTGGAGATTTATGCGCTCG